CTGTTACATAACCATGTGGCACTACGGGGGGTGCGCGGAGAAGCAACCTGAGGATGGCATTGGCCGCCCCCAGCCTCCGAGGGCCAGAAAGCGCCCGAGAGGCCCAACTTGGCATCTCTCCCTGAGCCTCTTGCGACATGCAAACTTTGCTTCCTCTCCTCTCCTTGGTCCCTTCTGTGTTTTATTTTATTTTGGTCGTGCACATTATTTGAAGTTACTATAGCAACGTGTCACCAGCTGGTATCGCATAGTAATGTTGGCATTTAGGTAGCAAGCTCCTGAAGTAGTCTGGTTCCCTCCCCCTCGAGTCTCCTCCCTCCCACTAACCTCAGGTGACCAAGGGGGGCTCAACCGCAGCACCATGCCCTCCCCCCTTTCTCCAAGGCAAGGCAGACCGCCAGCTCTGGCTTCGTCAGCACTGCAGGGTCCTGACTCTGTATGTGTTCGTGCGTGCATGCGTGCATATATGTGTGCATGTGTGTACGTGAGTGCACACACGTGTGCGTGTGTGTGTTTGCGTGTGTGTTCATGTGTGTGTGTGTGTGTGTGTGTGCGCACACATGTAGATATACAGGCAGTAGAGGTGGTTGAATAGGCATGTTTAAGTTGAGTGATGTGTGACGAGACCATTGGCCTTCCCAGGGCAGTGATGGTGATGATGAGGGGGCTTTTAAGCAGAGGTGTCGAGGGATTCGGGGAGGGCTGGATCCCTGATGGCCATCACCGAGGATCTCCAGCTAATCCCTCCTAATTGCACAATATTGGCTTTCTCCTTCTTCTCTCTCGCCACCACACAGACACTAACACTAACCGTTTCCCCCGTGGCATGTCGGACCCCTCCCAGATGTGCAAGCCATCCCCGCGCACACCAGCGGGGCTGCGTGAAGGGGATGAATTGTCGCGGGTCGCTTGAGAGTCCTGCATGGCCAGTAAGCCCCACCACGCGGGGCCTTCAGTAGCCCCTCACCGGCCGGGCGCCCGCCACGATCGCACTTATTTTTACACATGTGACCTAGTTTCACACCGTCTCTCTTCGCACTGTGATTCATTAGCGACATTTTCCACCACCCGAAAGGAGCCGCCGTGACTCTGCCCGGTCGGTGCCAGGCTGGCAGAGACAGTATCTCCCTCCCCGGCATCTCCCAGGCAAGGCCCCCTGGTTTTCTGTTTTAAGAAGCGGTTTTCCATCCAGGCACCTGGCATGCGGCTGGGCACGGATGAGTGGCTGTCTCATGCCTTGGTAGTAAATATGTGTCAACCAGAAAATTCCTGCCAGGGATGGGAAGGGGGGGTGGGGTGGGGGATGTGCTCACTAGCCTGCCTGCGGGGATCCCTCTCCCCTGCTCTCTCCGATGCTGTGTTCAGGCTTTCCCACGACAGTGGCAGGGCCAGGGCTCCGAGACACTCAACTTGGGGCTCTCCCACACTGAACTTTGAGCAATGCCAGTGTGGAGAGGACCTGAGTGACTCGAGCCAGCACGGTCTGATCACCGCCCCCACCCCCTACCCCCGGCCCCATTCCCGGGTCTTTTCATGAACACGTATGTGAGCCACAGTGGTCCTGGGAGTAAGCTCTGCCTCGAGCAAGGAAGAGGCAGGAGGCAACGGGCTGGATGGCCGCGTTCAGGCTGCGCCCCGAGAAGGGGGGGCTACATCAGAGAAACATAATATCCCGTCGTCCTGTCGCTGGATGACACAGGAGGTTTTTCTGGGTTTTCATTTAAATGGCAGAGAGAAGCCTTGTCTGAATGCGAGCCTGCTGCTCTGGTCTCCTTCAGCTTCACCAATCAATCAGCCACGCCGGTGTGGTTTCTGACAGACTGGGTGCTAACATAACTAGACACCACAGTAAGGGGGGAAAAAAAGGGACTTCCAGTCGGAAGTAAAAGACCGGCATTTTTTTCCATCGGCAGCCAAATGCAGGTAACTTGTCCAAACTTCAGTCACATCGTACTACGAACCGTTCTGAAAGGCACTCAGCTGGGGTTTGCTATGGAACTGGTTAAAGGAAGAAATGAGCCAGCTGGTAAAAAAGTAATTTTGATTGATGGGGGCACTGTAACAGCCAGAGCAACTCCTTATAAGAAAGAGAATGGCTCCTTTCAGAAAATGTCCCAGTGGGGGGGCAGGGGGTGCGTGCCCCTTCCTCTCCTCTACCCTTTATTTTCTTTTTTGAAGCATGGAAGTTTTTCTCTATAGGGCTTAAGACATCGCAACCTTTTCAAGGTAATTCCCAGGCAGCTTGAGCTCTGAGATTTGTTTTTTATTTTTTTCCCCCCCTTCAAATTCAAATCAAGCCACCGTAAATAACAAGCATCTCTTATGTATCTATGCATTTGGGGCAGCCTGCAGTTCCGACAATGGGGGATTTTCCAACACACACACACACACACACACACACACACACACACACACACACGCACACGCACGCACACACACTCCCAGTATTCATTTAAACCCCCGATTTTAAAGTAAACTGTTGTCCAAGAGCCGATAGCCTTTTCCCGTAGCGGATCACTGATAGGAGAAAGGAAACCTACCCAGATCTCTTACCTTGAAGCCGTGGGATTACCTGCAGAGCGTGGACTCCCTGTCCTCGCGAAGCAAGCCAGGCTTTGGTCAGCAGCACAATTACTCCGAAGGAAGGAAAATGCGTCCTTTATATTGCAATTTTCACTGTTTATATGCAGGAAGTGTAGTGGGTCTGCTCACGTAGGAATAAATAAAAAGCCGAACAAACTGCACGGCAGCAACCATGTGAAAAGGAAAGACCTCTAGTGGCCACAGGCTGAATTCTTTAAGGAAGGAGAGAGAAGAGATGGAGGGAGTAGAGGAAACACACACACACACACACACACACACACACACACACACGCAAACATAACCCCCCACACGCATGCACATGTGCACACACATTCCTCCACTGAACGACATGAAAACTCTCAAGATTTCTGCTTTCCTGCACCAGCCTGGCAGGGAGACATGAGCAGCAATAGTTTGGTTTTTTTTTTTTTGCTGTTTAAGTGGGACCTGCCAATGCTGGCCGGAAGGACGGGATCCTGCCGGGTCTGATATTCCCAAAGTCCCCTCGGACCGGCTCCCCAGGTGCCCAGACTCCTTCCCCTTCCCCAGGGCAGGCTCCAGATCCCCGCCAGCGCAGGGTCAGTGCTGCTGCCCCTGAGTCTCCCTCCTCTGCACAAGCGCCAGCTTCTCTTGCTTCTTCGCAAGCCTGGTACGCGAGGGAGGCGGGGGTCCCTGGCCGGCAAGGCTGCTGCCCCAGGGGGCTCCTCGCCTCACACTGACAGGGGCTCCAGAGTGGGCTTAAAACTTGGAGTCTGCGGTCAGAGTAATAGTACACTCTTGGGTAGAGCGCTTGCCTTGCATGCTGCCAATCTGCGTTTAATCCCCGGCATCCCGTATGGTCCCCTGAGCACCGCCAGGAGTAATTCCTGAGCTCAGAGTAGGAGTAACCCCTGAGCATCGCCCAGTGTGCCCCCCCCCCAAAAAAAAGAAAAGAAAAGTTGGAGTCTGTATGTAACAAACTCTGCATTTCCCTTTCATTCAGCCCCACGGATCTCTTAGCCAACCGTGCTGACTAGGAAAGCACACCTCCCTGATGTCCTCATTGGAAAGAAAATTAGGAAAAGCAAATGAGAATCTGTATATTCTGGAACTACTTTCAGGGATATGAACTTGAGGGACCTTCAGTTACCCACAAGAATTTCCCTGGAACTCTTCCCCGAGACATGAAGGTTATTTCTCCGCCACTGGAACTAAGCTGTAAACCTGGGCCGTTTTCATTTATTGTTATTCACAAGGGCAGATTGTGGGGATTTTAAGCCAAAGACAGCAATTCAATTTGTGATGGTAAACCCATTCTCTTGATTCACACACAGTACTTTGGTTTGTACTCAGGGGACCAGGCAGTGCTGGGGATCAAAACCAGGGCTTGCCTGCAAAGCATATGCCTGGTCTTCAGGAGACTCAAGTGGTTCCTTCCCATGGGTGGTTCCAGGGTCACTCTCCTTGCATGCTGTTTGCAAACACTTGTCCAAACAGAAACCCATGCTAGCCCAGACTCATCCCCTCTGGGGGAGAGAGGGCGTGGTGCTGTGTCCTGGGGGAGAGAGGGCCACAGAGGAAGGCGTGGTGCTGTGTCCTGGTGAGAGAAAGAACATGTTGCTTGTCCCTCTGGCCCCATGGGTCCTCCCAGACCTTCTTCCTCTTCTGATTCTCCAAACTTCCATTTGTCTGAATCCCACCAGTACTTGACCTGCTTCACAGGTCAAGGGCCATAAACTTTGTGTCATGGATGTTGGATTGCTTGATCCAATTACACCATGAGCTTCCTCAGGGCAAGGACCCCCTCTTATTGTTTCATATCCTCAGAACCACTAGTAAGAGCCGGTTCCAGCAACTGGGGCTTCTCGCTGGTTGACTCATGGTGGTCCGACAAAGTCCGACAAAGTAGAGACTTCATACATCCAAGGAGTTGTAAGAGCCTTTAACACTCCTCTGGGGGTAGACATGGGTGAATTATTGGGGCTGAAGCATGGAAAACATTAGAATAATCACAGTGTCTCTGGGATCTTGGTGGAGGCTGTCTATTGACCCCAATGCAATGCTCTCCTCCCGTCACCCAGCTCTCTGGAGAGGCCAGGAATCGAGTTCTGGTCTCAGTCCCCAGACCTTCTAGTTGCGAGCACACTGATACTCAGTAAATGTTTTCTTGGGGTGCCAGGGATTGAACCCAGGCTCACACATGAGTACGTTCCTGCTTCAGTCACCATGTTTGGGAGCATGTCTCCTCGGATGAACCTGAACAGGAGGAATTTACTCCCGGGGAAGTTTCCCATTCCAGTCTGGGAACAAGGCACGCTCCCCATCCGTGGCAGGCCTCATGCACTTGCCTCTTTGCTAATCTGGATTAAAGCGACGGAGACCCCGAGTCTCAAGGTCCTCTTCCCGTGGCTTTATGGCAAACTTCTTTCTCCTTGCAGAGTCACTTTGTGGCGTGCATGACGGCCATCTTAAACCAGATGGGGGACCAGCACTATTCCTTCTACATCGAGACTTTCCAGACTAGCTCCGAACTTGTGGTGAGTCTCCAGGGCCTTGGGGTGACGGGGAGGGGAGACAGGTCACACTGCCGGTTCTTGAGAGCCGAGGGCAAGGCTGTCTCCCCATCGACCTTGAGTCCGCGAGGGTCTCAGCAGGCTGCTTGTCAGTGCAATTCCCTCCTTCCTCTTCCTGGGAAGGTTCCTGGGTGTTGCCTCTGCAGTGCATCCTCCGGGTAGGCCGGATGGTTCTGGTCCATGACCTGAGTGTCCCGCCTAGATTCGCCTCGACGGCATCTCTGACTGGCTCACTGGGCTTCACAGCCTGGGTGTCACCAGCCACTGTGTGGGCACAGGCTGACTCACCTCTCTGCAGCCTGCTCCTATGGAACAAGAGGTGCGAGTGTCATTTATATGTGCAGGGCTGTTACGGGAGAGCCCGCGGTTGCCCCAAACCATGGCGAGAGATCGTCGCCTCCCCAGCCACACTGCCTGGCGCCCCTCAGTCTCCACGGCATGGGCACAGGATGCCGAACCACACACTCCGCAGAACAGGAGCCCGCAGTGAAGCGGGTCACCACCTTTACTACACCGTGGCAGCAAATGCATCCAGGGGTCAGTCTCTGCCCCGCCTACACCCGCCTCTCAGGACTCACTTTCCCCTGTGGCCTGTGGGCCTGCCCGGACAGCAGGCAGCTTTATCCACTAGCACACAGGCAAGGCATCCTGACCCCAGGGGCTAGCATTTCTCTTGGCCCCAGGGTGCTCACGTGTCATGGCCTCCCTGCGCTGCCAGCGTCAGGAGTGCTGCTAGCCCGGTCTCTCCACACTCTCCCCGGAGGGCCCGAGAGAATCAGTGGGCAGCTTCAAAGAGGGGCCCATAAAGGAGAGCCATCAGGGAGCCTGCCAGCGGGCAGGGAGAGGGCCGCCTCGCTGGAGTAAGGCTGGCGGGGAAATGAAACCTTTCTCTGGATACACAAAAAATAAAATGGAACAGAAGCTAAATAACCCAGCACTTCCCCCTTTCAAGTCCTTTGTGTTGTGGGGTGGGAAGTAGAAAGGCCAAAGCTCTCCCTTGTCCTGGTGGTGGACGCGGGTGTGGGGAGGGGCAGGGAGGCTCCCTGTCGAGGGCACTGGGCGCCTGTCTGACGGCTCTGGGGTCAGCCCACTCACGCCACATCCTGAGCATGTGGCAGAGGGTGGATGGACGTGAACCTTCGCTCTTACCCTTCCGCTGCGTTCCCTCATTCAGAAGTCAGGCTTCCCGTGACGAGCAGGCGAGAGAAGGTGCTCATGGCAGTATCCACATGCTCCTGGTGACGCGGAGAGGAGTACCTTCGCTATTGTCACCATCGCTCATCAGCTGTGGCCTCACTGTGCAGCTGCTTCCGCTCACTGTGCAACCTTGATTCTCACAGTAAACCCCAGGAGGTGGTTGCTGTGCCCATTCTGCAAATGCAGAAAACTGGGGCTGGAGGTGCTGAGGGGCTGGAACTCCTCCTGGAAGCAAAGGTTGCTCAGAAGGAACCAATCCCGTTTCCAGACTTTTGCAAGTTAGCTTAAAAGCAGTGATTTTCAAATCATATTCCTCTCAACTTGACTATCCTCTGACACACACACACACACACACACACACACACACACACACACACACACCCAAGCAGAGTTATTCTACTTTTTTGCTATTTCATGAATTCCAGGGAAGGTTTTTCTTTCAGCGAGGATCCTACTGTTCCAAGTGATTGGAACTCCACCAGCTGAAGGGAAGCACTGTGGGCAGGACTCCCATGGCTTCTAAGTCTCACCTCAAGCACTCGGATGATGTGGCTTCAGAGGCCCAGCTCCGCAGGGGCCCAGTGCCAGTCGCCCCGGGCTCTGCACTCAGGACTAGCCTTGAACGTGTGTTTCCCAAAGAACGACAGCAAACCTGGCCCAGGGTACCAGGTGGTGGGGTGTGTTGAGGTCCCACGGTGAGCCTCTTCAGAGGAAAGGCGTCCCCATGGGGTTGTCATGACGTCTGTGACACGTGAATGGCCCTCTACAGCACAGCTAATTAGACGTTCGTTTTAATAATGGTTTGTTTGCCCGTTGACCTGAGCTCCTTCTCACGTTACGTATCAGGAAAGATGATTCTGAAACTGCCATGTCAGTGAGTGCGTTTGCTTCTTCCCTCCCAAGGACTGGATTCATGGTGCCTTCACTGGAGCACATTTTCTCTCTCTTCCCCCCCACCCAACCCATCCCCGGTGTGTGACTCAGTCTCCCAGATAAGGGCTTTGAATTTCCTCTCAAAGCTACTGTTGGTTTCCTTGGCTCTGCCTCGGGCCAGGCTGTCCCCCTCACTTCTCTGTCCCACCAAAACACCCCAAAGAACACGCGTGCACCCAGCTGCAATGTGGGGCGTGTCCTGCTAGCTCTGAGAGAGATGGAAGCTCTCTTTGACTTCTCCACCCAGGACTTCTTGATGGAGACGTTCATCATGTTCAAGGACCTCATTGGGAAGAACGTGTACCCGGGAGACTGGATTGCCATGAGCATGGTACAGAACAGGTGAGCCCGCGCCGGGCCCCACCCCTGCTGCTGAAGGGGGGAGGGACGCTGCTCTTTGGGGAGGCTTCCGGACTGTAAGCCCACCCCGGGACCTCCTTACCAATCTCAGACCTTCTCTCTTCCCTTTCTTTCTTTTTTTTTAAATTTTTATTAGTGAGACACCATAAGGTACAGTTGTAGACTTACAAATTTTGTGCTTGGGTTTCAGTTATACAATGATCGAATACCCATCCCTCCACCAGTGCCCATTCTCCACCACCACTGATCCCAGTATTCTTTCCCCCCATCCCCCCCATCCTACGCTGCCTCTGTGGCAGGGCATTTCCTTTTGTTCTCTCTCTCCTTTTGGGTGCTGTGGTTTGCAAAAGAGGCATTGAGTGGCAACCATGTTTGTTCTATAGTCTACTTTCAGCATGCTTCTCCCATCCTGGGAGGATCCTCCCAACACGCTTTATTTGGTGCTCCCTTCTCTATCTGAGCTGCCTTTTCCCTAGCCTGTGTGGCTGGCCTCCAAGCCATGGAGCAAAATTCCTTGTACTAACCATTTCTTCATGCCTTTTTTCATGTACCGCATGAGTATTCTTCAAATATGAGGTTTTAAAGAAAATCTTAATCTGTAAAGAACTCCCTAATCTCTTTAGACCTTCCTTCTAAAATCATATTAAAAGTATTTGAGTAATGAATTATGTCCTTTGACATGATAAAAACAAGTTTAGGAAGTCTTGGGTTGCAGAGCTGTGCTGCAGGACTTCTCGGAGCCTTTACAAGCACGGGTGTGATTCTGACTGGGGGATTTATATGCAACTTTCTACGGATTTGTTTTTGAACCAGTCTTGAGGTACATAAGAATGTGTCTGTGCCATCTGTATATAGCTGTGACAACCTTTACCATCTCTAACTGGCATAGCCTCAGTTGCACGGCTTCCATAGGCACAGCACGGCATTACATCAGAGTAATCACAACTGTCGTACTGTAGCACTGTCCTCCCACTGTTCATCAATTTGCCCGAGCGGGCACCAGTAATGTCCCCATCGTGAGACTTGTTGTTACTGTTTTTGGCACATCGAATACGCCACGGGGAGCTTGCCAGGCTCTGCCGTGCAGGCGGGATACTCTCGGTAGCTTGCAATTGAACTCAGGCAATTGAACTCAGGTCGGCCGCGTGCAAGGCAAACACCCTACCCGCTGTACTATTGCTCCAGCCCAATCACAACAATTATATTTATTTTATTTTATTTTTGTTCATTTTACTTTTTATTGACTAGAGACTGATTTTTAAAAAAATGATTTTTTTAAAAAATCGAATCACTGTGAAATATACAGTTATAGAGATGTTCATAACTAGGTTTCAGTCATGCAATGTTCCTACACCCATCCCTCCACCACTGTACATTTCCCACCACCAATGATTCGTTTTTCTCCCACCACCCACCCCCACCCCCAGCCTGCCTCTGTGGAAGATGCACTTTTCTTCTCTTTCTCTCTGTCTCTCTCTGTCTCTCTCTCTCTCTGTCTCTGTCTCTATCTGTCTCCCTCTCCCCACCTTTTGGCATTATGGTTTTCACTATAGGTACAAAAGGTTGCCATGTTTTTCCCTTTACCTACTTTCATCATGCAGTTCCTGTCCAGAGTGATCATTTCCAGTGCTCCTTGTCACAGTGCTCCCTTCTCTATCCTAGCTGCCCTCCCCCTGCCACCACTTGTGGCAGGCGTCCAACCGTGGGCCAGTCCAGTCCTCCTGGCGCCTGTTTCTACTGACCTTGGGTATTAGTCTTATATTGAATCACAATGGTAGTGTTGAATGCTTTCTCTCAAATAACATTATTTTATCAAAATTAAATTCCAACTATAACCCTTAGCAATATTCTCTAGTATTCCCTTCTCCATTCTTCTGGCCATCAATATTTCACACATTCCTTGGTTTTTTTCAAGGCTCTCTCAACCCTGATGATCAGTTCCTGTCCATAAACTCCATCAAAACTGCTCTTCTGACTCCTCTCTCTCCCTTTTCATTTCTCTTTGGCTTTTTTTTTATTGAGTGGGGAGGGGGCTGAATCAAAGCACTTTATTTCAAGACGAGGGGGCTGTCTTCTGAGGATGGTCAAAAGCTGATGTCCTTGGCCAGCCAGGATCTTTACCATCTTATATTTGTCTGAGGACCTTCCCATCAGAAGTCCTTCACTCAGTGGACATTGCTTAGTATCTATCCTCTTTATTTCTTTGTTTTGGGGACCACACTGTGCTCCGAAGGCTTACTCCTGGCTCTGCACTCAGGGTTCACTCCTGGCAGGACTGAGAGATCTAACGGGGCAAGCACAGCTACCCACTGAACGATCTTTCTGGCCCAAGTATCATTCTTCTTTACATAAAGAAAGAAAAGGACCAATTCATCCAAATTCACGCATGGGAATTAAAGCTGAGTTTTACTATGGCTCTGAGCAGGTCGTGCCAGAAGAATCCAGAAAGAGGGAGGAGCCTTGATTTTGCCCAGCCCTTAGCATAGGAAATGCCCACCATCAGCATGGAGGACTGATGAATCCCTGGTTATCTCAAGGCTGACAAGCAAGAGAATGATTGTCATGGAGACTCCCAGCACTCTTCCCGCTGCCGAGAATGTGTCCAACCCCTCATTCTAGTATCATATGAAGGATCCTGAGACGTTTATACATAATATGACAGCTACTCAATGCCTTTCTTAATCTAGGCAATCAGATACTAGTCTTTAAGGAGAAAATATAGATTACCTTTTCCCAAAGGCATATTTGCAAGTGACAAGAGAGAAAAACCAAAGAAATCTTGCTTTTGGCAATTGATGAGGTGGCAGATTCTGTGGAACTCGTATTTCCTGCCTACACGTGGCCCTGTTCAGGAGGGGGTGCCGGCTGCTGCTTGGCCTTCCTGCCCATTCCCATTCCACCGCCGGCCTCTGCCTTAGATTGAAGTGACCTTAAAGAGTCTGAAATGGCCACGGCAGCCAAGTCTCTGTGCCGGGCATGGCACTCGGCACCAACTGTGCATGTGTCATTAAACCTGCAGTCACCCCTCGAGGGGGTGTCACTGTTGCTATTTCACATGCCGGGAAACCCAGACTTCAAAGGTAACTTCATTAACGTGTCCTAAATCCACACAGCTGGAAGTACAGAACTAGAAATCACATCCAACTCCGTGTGTGTGTGTGTGTGTGTGTGTGTGTGTGTGTGTGTGCGCGCGCGCAAATATTGTGGCCTCCTAGACAAGATGTGCTGCCTTCTTTGTTCCACAAACAACGAAGTGTTTAATAAACACTGAGCCCAGGATTTGCCCGTGATGCCCACCTTGCCCACACTGACCCACCTGCAACACACCAGCAGCTCCAGTGACCATTTCCTGTGCCATTCATTCTCGGACTTTCCTCTGGCGACAGGAGAGCACTCAGCCCACCTGTTGGGAAGATAAGAAGTTCCAAGGACTTAATGGCTTCAAGAGCTGCTTTCAGCCAGTAAGGGGCTGTCATTATAGGACAAAGAGCCCAGTTCCTCGTCTCTGATGGGGGAATGTGTCGTGCCCAGGTGTGGTCGATGCAGTCTGTCAGAGCAGAGCTAGTGGGAAAAGCCAGGAATTAAGATATAAATATTGGAGTCCAAGACATGTACACTGGGGAGTACAGGAGAGGGCGGAGGGCATCTCTAATTTCAAAAAAAAGTCTAGTACAGGAAATAGACTCACATGGGTCATCTCAGACCAGGCCAGTATGGATGCCGGTCAAGGAAAGGGCAGAAGGACTCTTGGTGGGGCACAAGCAGACCCGGCCCTGAGGGCTCTATAGGGAGAGGAGTGAGTGGGCTTCACAGAGTTGAACAAAACACTCAGAAGCACAAGGTCTAGCACAGAGCAGGATCATTCGCTGCCGAGGGGGTTAGCATTTATCCTGTGGCAGGAGGGAACCACTGAAGGAAGTAATTGAAGCAGTCTGTTAAAAACAAGTCGCTCTTGACATTGAAGGAGCAAGAGGTCAGACTGCACGGGAGGGAGGAGGAGGAGATGGACTGGAGGGCACCAAGGAGCAGCGCCCTGGGCAGTAGTCACCAAACTGTTTGAGGTGCTTAGCGCTTGGTGGGTCCTGCCTTCCAAAGAACAGAGGAGGTAGGTGCAGGAGAAACGAGGTATACGCAGAAGAGGAACCACTGAAAGGCGGTTCACAACAGAAACGCTGAGAGAAGCAGCCAGGCCCATCAATAAGGGCCTGATTAAATAGCCCGAGATCCATCCCGAGGATGGAGTACTCTTTGGTGATTAAAAGGGATGACGTGTATCCACACTTGCTGGCGTGAAAGGAGCAAACAATTTATTGTTGAAGGAGAAAAAAAATGAGCTGGGAAATAGAAATTATCAAAATGGTATCTTTAAAATATCATTTATGTATATGTATACATATAGATAGGAAGACCTTTCTAATTATGGTCAATAAAAGTCAGTGGCCCAAGATGCTTTTCTCCAGATGGTATGTAAAATTTGTTGTTGGGGTAGGGGGACTTCTGTCTTTCTGCTTGGTATGAATTCTCTCCCATGACTTGCAAACCACAGAAATCTACTCTTACGGAAGTCAAAGAGGCAGTTTTTGGGCAGGGAATATCACTCAGAGGGCTGAGCCTGTGATTTTCATGCCAGAGGGCTGAGTTTGATCCCCTGTACTGTGGGACCCTGAGCTCCACCAGGCATGATCCCCGAACACAGAGCCAAGAGTAAACCCTGAGCACCACCAGAATGTAAAAATAAATAGAACACACAAAGACATTTTTCAAGTTTTTGCAAAGCACACATGACCCCAGGTTTGAGTGGGTGCAGATCCGGCTTAGGTGATCTCTCCCTTGGATCTTGGCATCCTTCCCTGAGGGAAGTTTTGCCTGGATGGGGGAGGGGACAGGCTGGGGGTGCTAGCATTGACCTTCTCCCTTCTTCCAGGGTCTTCCTGAGAGCTATCAACAAGTTTGCAGAAATCATGAACCAGAAGTTCCTAGAACATACCAACTTTGAGTTCCAGGTGAGTGTGAGGCCCCAGAGGTGCCCTCAGGGTGCCCTATCACCGTCACTATGGCTTTCTGGGCTGACCAGGAGGGCCTGACACCCAGCACACCCTAGGGTGTATGTGAAACCCGGTATGGCAATGATCGGGGATCCCACAGACAAGGATGGGCCTGGAAACAGGCCTTTACCCGAGGGTGATTAACTGAGCCTCAAGTGCAAAGATGGCCACGCGGGGCATCTGATGCTAGAACATTCTTGCACTGCCAGAGTGGGGCATGATCTCCAACATCTGGATTGTGTTTTCTTCCTTTCGACTTACTGGAATCTAGAAAAAGCAGTTAGCCAATGAAAGCAGAGCTCCCTAGCACACCTCTGCGGCTTCCTGATTCAGAGGGGCCCAAGGTCTTACCACTTACCTGAGCATGAAAGTGTCTTCCAGAAGAGACTTCTGAAAGTCATTTTTAGTGTTCAGGTAAGATCTTCATCCTCTTTGGAGTAAGGGGTGCCTCTGTGAGACCCACCCGTCTTCGGGAAGGTCCCTGGAGCAAACAGAAAGACAGAACCACTCAAGGTTCAGGCAATCAGAACCAACCCCCAGAGCCTGGGAGAGAAGTCTAGATTGTTACCTCTGACTGACTATGCATGAGAAAGCCTTCCCACTCCCAGAAGTCTTTCCTCTGGGGAAGGTGCAGCCCTTCGGGTCTCTTAGAACAGCTGGAGGAGTCACCAGGATGCTGGGGTGTTGGTAGTTTCCGGCGACACATCTACTTCCTCTCTAGACTTGGGCCTCTGACCCTCGGAGCAACTTCAGGCGAGGCCTGAACCGTATTCAGGCCCCTGTTAACACTGCTCCGAAATGCACCGACCCTTTCTGCATAGCTGAGAGGCCCCGCCGTGACTTTCCTACCTTCCTCCTCCTAGAGGACTTCCTGGCTCTGCTTCCAGGGATCAGCCGCCCCCAGTCACTGTGAATCAGCCCCTTTGTCCTTCCTTGTCATTTCAATCATCAGAGCCACCCCTCCCCTGTCTGTTTCTCTGCACATTTCCTCTCTGATGATCTTGAAGAACAAGAGGTTTTGTGGCCTTCACCTGGCACATAGTAGGTCTCCTATGGGGCACGTGGGACCCACCCCAGTGGGAGAGCAGCGGCCCTCAGACGTTTGGCAAATGCCGACTCAGAGCCTGACGTTACAATCAGGCCGTAGGACCGGCAAGGGGAGCTGTGAGGAGATGTGTAGCCGCCAGCCCTTGCGGGCATCATCTCTCAGTCCCTACAGCTCCCCACGAGTCAGGGTGAGCCTTTCATCTGGAAGGAGGCGGGAACTAAGGCAGATGGCCTGAGGTCACCCAGCTGGCCAGTGCAGGCTTGGCGCTGAGCTCAGTGGGGGCTGCCCCTGATCATCACGGTCACAGCAGGACACGGAGTTTCACCTCCACGCGGGGCTGGCTCTCTGGCACAGCCGAGAGAGCTTTAAATCGGACATGAGAACAAAACCTGTCGCCTTGGCTGCTTGAATCGGGAGAGATGTTTGATCTCCTTCCAAATGTGGCTCAGATGTCCTCGGGCTCTGGGTACAAGTGTGTTTTGGGGAAGTTAATAAGGCCAGTGCTGTTTTGGAGGGGCGCCTTGGAACTGCGCACCCAGTTGCCGGCAGCAGGGCAGGATTTGGACGGAGCTCTGCTGGCCGGCTCACTCGGTGCTTACACGGCCTCTGCTCTCTGGACACTGGCTGTCCTCCACACGCCGCGGGCTGCATCCCGGGAGAGCTCAGCTTCAGTCCCCCAAGCCCTTCTCCTAGGTCTGTCCTGCTTTCCCGAAGGACAGTCTGTAATGAGAGATGCCCAGGGAAGTACCTGAGCTGTGGGACATTAAGGGACAAATTACTTCACCCCTCTGTGCCTCAGTTTCTCAACTTAACTAATAGTCGCTCCGTCCTTGGGTTGATGTGATGATTTGTGAGCTACCACAAAGCCCTTAAAACAGGGCCAGTTAGCTATTTAATAAGTGTTAACTCACCATAATGATTGCTATCCTGTTTTTTAAGGGTTGGGACTATTTTTCCTGCAGTGCCAGGAATTGAACCCAGATCTCATACTTGCAGGCTGTACTGTGTCACTAAACCCCATCATAAGCCCTGATTATTATCTTTGTGCTTATGATGATGTTGGTTCTAATTGTGTTGGGCTTGGGAACTCTTTGTCTTCAGTCCTGGAGAAACAGAAGTGTAGGGCTTAAAATCTTTCTGGTCAACCCAGCATCATCTAAGACTATATTATACCCACAGAATTTGGTAGTAAGATGGGAAAATGGCCAACATCAGAAAATTAAATGCCTCTCATTCTAAGGAGACTTGCAGAACTGCTTCTTGAAAGCAACTCAAAAACAGTGTCATTTTTCAGCCTTATCTTTGTCCTCCTACCTTCTCCGCGCCCTGTGTGAGAATGGATTTGTTCTCTGTACCCTGCCTGGAACATGCCTTGTTTCTTTCTTCCGGTTTCATTAATTATGCATTTAATATCAGCAGGGACCGCATCCATCACTATGCACTGCTGGCCTTGGCAGCACTGTCCAGAGGAGAAGCACATGCAATGAGATTATCCTTGAGATCTTTTCCAAAATTGCGGTTTTGTGATTCACAGGGCAGAAAGCACGACACTGGGTGCCTCTCTGTCGCTGACAAGACCTGGGCATTAGAAACATTTTCTACTTGGGGCTAAAATAACTTGCATTCCCAGGGCCCCCTTCAGATTGCTGGGCCCTGGAGGTTTGCATCCTTGTTACCAAGAGAGGATTTCCAGTTCAGCATGACAAGGATTTTTGTTTCAGAGCAATTCAGATAGTCCCCACAGGCTCAGGCTGGGTAGAGTGCTGTGAGGAATTCAGAAGTGAATCTGGGTACTTCCCATCCCTTAGGGATCTTGAAGTCACAATAGAAGACTGGTGGCCCACCCTTGAGCATCTCAGCTTTTGGGATGAAGAAAGTGACTGATCTTTATTAGCTATTTATTTTGATCATTGTCATCATTTTGTTAGCTCAGAATATTCCCATTTTACTGGTGAGCAAATAGAGCTTCAGAGAAAGTAATTGACTTCTGTGTAAAAGGGCATCCAATTACTAAGTGGGGATTTTAGGATTCATCCCCAAGCTCACTTGCAAAGCCCAAACTCATCCAGTTTTCTGCACAGTCTTTCAAACACAGAATGTTTCATTTAGCTCCAGAAACGCTGTTTGTCTTCACTTGCTCTTTCGGGCAGTGGGGTGAGAGCTGTACAATGATCGGCCACGGGATTCAATTTGCCGTGTTGGAAACTTTGGATTAGCCAGGGAAGCAGTGGTTAGTTACGCTGGGAATGAGCCCTTTGGCAATAGGATATGGCTCCTGTCTTTTTAGGCAGCTGTCTGATTGCTTCTAAGTTCATTCTCTCTCTACCTTGAAAATCCTGGTTGGGTTGAAAATTTGCAGTTCCTTGCAAACACAGTAACAAGTCTCACAATGGAGACGTTACTGGACCCGCTCGAGCAAATCCATGAACAACGGGAGGACAGTGCATTCCCAGGGCTCCCTTCAGGTTGCTGGGCCCTGATATTTGCATCCTTGTGTGTGGCCAGTGAAGACCAAGAGTGGATTGTCCTACAGGCACTTCTGAACAGCTTCGGAACACCAGACCCCCTTAGGATTATTTTTGAAGCTGTACAGGGGACTGAAATGGTAAACTTCCAGAATGTTCGCAGCTATTAGGGTTGAGGAATACTGGCTTTCTAGTGGGGAATCTAACCAGTAATGGGTGAAAAGTGAGCGCGTTCTTAGGCCTGCCTGCTCAGCTCGGGACTCAGACAACCTTGGGCTGAAGTTGGTAGCCCGAGCCCTTCCGTTTCCGGGCTCATCAGCATCCCGGCATGGCCATGCCAGCTGCCTCTTTGCCCCAAAGGGCCTCACTGACCACATCTCAGCAGCACTGTGTGTGTGCCGGGTGCCTTTTGATTTTGCCCATTTGGAGCTGGGGGGTAAATCACAATTCAAAGTCAATTGAGTAAGACTCTGGTTGAATTAAAAAAAAAGAAGCCCATGATCTCTCTGAGATGCAGACTTAAAATACACCATATGAACCAGTAGAAACTTTAAACAATAGCAAATGCTAGCAGGGATTGAGAAAGAGGAAGAAAGGTGATTTTCTCAGCGGGGCAGAATGGCTAGAGATACAAGTCTCAGAGACAGATAAACTGGGGCTCAAATGGTGTCTTCATCGTTCTGAATTAATGTGGTCTCAGGCAAGATCCTTAACCTTTCCAGCCCCATATCCTGATCCCTGAAATGGAGCCAATAATGGGCTAAGTATCCATTTCTGGGGAAGACTTAACAAGAATGGGAGAGTGCTGGGCTCATTAATGATCTCAGCCAGCAAATATTTCCTGAGCACACGGTGAGTTGGACACAACGTTAAACACTGGATATACAACCATGAATAAAAGCAGGATGCTCGTTACATCCCGTAGAGGAGACAGGAAATAAACCTGTTCTGCTCAACACAAGTCATCAATCCTGGGAACAAGGTGTAATGGGGGTGAGTAACAGGCAGGTTGACTTCAGACCAGGCGGGAAGGCTTCCCAGGAAGGGCATTGGAATCGAGGTGGAAACACCACGTCGGACTTTGCCTGCAACTGTTGTCTCCTTCACTTCTTGAAACTTAGCCCTTTCGGTACTGTTGTCCTCATTTTCCAGATGAGGAAACTCAGAGTCAGAGAAATGGGGTAACTTGCTCGTAGTAATGGAGCTGGTAATTACACGGGAGTCTTGGAAGGCAGCCTGACAATCTCTATGCAAACCTCAAGGACAACAAACAAACTAGCAACGTCTTTCGCAATACCTTGCCTTTACAGCCCCTTCCCGGAGAAGGTATACTACAGTAGCGTCTCTCATGCATAAAGAGGTGTAAACAAGGGTGTTGATTACAGCTAGAGGGGGGAAAAGTTAGAATCAACTTCAGTGCCTATAAATAGGGAATTGGCTACAATTAAAGTACATCCTTACAGCAGAACACCGTGCAGCAATAAAAGAGAATGAGGCAGATCTGTATATGCTAATATGGAAACATCTGTAAGATATATTGAAAAAAGAGCGAAGTACAGTGGGCTATTAAAAAGAAGTTATCTACACATATATTTGTTTATACATAAAACATGTTGGGGAGGCTATCCAGGAAATTAACATTTTCTTCTAGGGAATTGGACAAGGGTCCAAGGTAAGATGGAAAATTACTTTTTATTACTTAGTCCTTTCTCCTATTTAATATTACTTTATGAATTTTTGAGTTACATAAAAACTGCTGAGTCCTGGTCACACCTCCGGCCTAGGATTCTGAGTGGCTCTTTGGATCTCTGGGACGTGCCTATTTACACGTGTGAGATGAAGGGTTGGGCTAGCGGACTCCTGAGCTCATCCCAGCTCTAATCATCTGCTGCCCTACAATTTTTTGAAACATTAAACTCCCAACCAAGTCGCCTCACCTCTCCGCCAGGGGAAAGGGATCTGTGCATTCTGCTAAATCTCCTGCGGGGCTTGGGAGTCAGCCAGGCTGGGCGTTGAGTAGAAATGGCACCAGGTTGCATAAAGCAGGAAGAAAAAAACAAAACTGGGAGCTATTGAAGCACCTGGATACTTTCTTTAACAACATGGCTCTCAATAAATATTACTTAGGGCCTAGATAATATTTATTCATCAATCAGTATTATGTATTGACTAGCTGTCGTCAAGTGATTGGGCCGACTGTATTGCTAGAAATATAAGTCAAGGGCAAGCAGAGACATATCCTCACAATGAGGAAACGCGGAGACATGTCTGCGTCTGTGGTCAGCACCGCGGACAGCGCCACCACATCCCCAGCAGATGATTGCCAGCTGGGATCCATGCCAGTGATTGCGTCTTCATGAGACTCCACCCAACACGGAAAAGCACTCCCCCAATCCCGATGGGAGCAGCGAGCATGAGGTTTCCATTTCACAGGCTAGGGAAATATGGCACAGTAATTGCTGAAGACAGCCCCACTGCTGAGAGGGGCAGTTGGTCTCCAACCCCTGCCCTCTGACTCCTGTAGAGACCGGGTGCAGCGCCCGGTTGGCTGCAGAGCAGGGGCACCCAAATCCTTGCTGGCACATGCCGAGTGCTGCTCCAGTCATGAAGGGCCGCGCCAACCGGATGTGCTCAGCCTTCCTTCCAAACGGAGGAATCTGGAACCAGATGTGATGAAAGAAGGTGAAGATGCTGGCAGGTGTGTGAGTCACTGTGGACAAATCCAAGAAGACCGAGATGTCCATGCTGTATGTCTGGGGTCTGAGTAGACCAACTCCCCCAAAACCCCACTCCTACCTCCCTGCCCGGCATAGACTGCGTGTTGGAAAAGAAAACACTGAAAATTGAATCCCCATTCAATTTACTGGATCCTGTAGGAATGAGGGTCAAGGAAGGTCTGAGTGTCCATCTCTGCCTCTGCCCATCCCTCAGACCTCTGCATGGCCGTTGACCTTGACAAGCTCCTGCCATTCATAAGTCAGCCTCAGAGAGCCTGTGAGCAAAAACAACTTGGGGATCTGGGAGAGATGCTCAGGGGAACCAGAAAAGGAAGACTGGATCTTTGTCCTTGCCTATTGTGCTCAAAAGTCTCCAAGTAGGGGACCAAAAGGAAATCTGGCCCTCTCCTAAGTCTATAGCCAAGAGCACTGAAAACATACATTCTCACAGAAGCGTGCATATCGACATTCACAGGCGGCCAAAAGGGAAACATAGACCCACATGTCCATCAGTGGGTGAATGGATAAACAGAACATGGCACATCTGTGCCGGAGAACGTTATTCAGCAACAAAAACAAGTGAAGTACTGATTCAGGTGACAGCAGGGATGAATCGTGGATACTGGTGATAAGTGACAGGCACCAGGCAGAAAAGATCGCATCCTGTAAGATGCCTCATGTCAGAATGGGCAAATCCACAGAAGCAGATAGGAGAGGGGCCGTTGCCAGGGGCTCAGGCGGAGGAAACGTGATGCCTCATGTCAGAATGGGCAAATCCACAGGAGCGGATAGGAGAGGGGCCGTTGCCAGGGGCTCAGGCAGAGGAAACGTGGTGGGGGAGGTGTTGCCACTTAGAGCTACAAGCCTTCTTTTGGGGGTGATGGCAATTTTCTAAAATTAGATAATGGTGATAGCTGTGCAACCTCGTGAACACACTAAAATCTATTCAGCGCTAAACTTTAAAAAGCAAATGTTACGTTATGTGAATCCTCAGTTTTTAAAAATTAGCCATGGGTGACAGGGAAAGCAGAATTTGAAGGATGAAGACCTAGAAGAAGAGAGGCGAGCAAGATCCTCAGTAAGGTTTGGCCTGTCCCTATGTCCTCAAATATGACATGTGGATATATTTGGAATTATTCTAAATAACAGCAATGCAACTTATTGCCAGGATAGCTTTTCATTTGCACCCATTTACTTTACTACATCCCCTAAAATCTGTATTTCTCACTATAAAAATAGCTCTTTGTCCTGTGACCAGATTTCCCCTTTCTTCGTCTCTGTTTCATAGCCTGGTCTTAAATGGGAGGAGTGGAGAGCTCTAGGCTTGGGTGGGCCACAGCTGCCTACTGTCAGGACCTGCAGATCCCTGATCCCCCAGAGGACAGGAGATGTGATGGTCAGAAGACCCACCTGCATGTGTGTTTGGATAAGCAGGTTACTACGGAAACAGAATCTGATCCCAGTGGCCCTGGAAGACTATCCGAGGCTTTGAGGAAGGCGTGGTTGATACAACCCAATGGTTTTAAAATGAGCCTTCTGGTCTTGGAGTAGACCATTGCCTGTTGGAAGTCAGGCCAGAAAGCCTCCCTCTGGGAGCTGCACAGTCTTGGACTCCCTGGGAGATAAAATGTCTAGTCGAAGAAAGTTTTTTTGTTCTCTCACCAGAATGTAAGCTTCAGGAAGACAGACACTACTTCCTGTTTGCCTCCGCCTTTCCAGCACAGAGGGATGTTCAGTGACTGTCTGCTGTGTGTCCTCAGCCAGAGCTATATGGAAAGACCCCTGAGTGTCCCCCAGAAGGCCGAGGTTCAAATCCCAGCTCTGCAGTTGATATGACAAGCTGAGTGACCGCTGACAAAAAAAGCCCCTCAATCTCCTCAATGAAATGGGGCTGATAAGAGCTAACACATTTTGAGAGTGGAGCATGAGGAAAGAAATCGTGGCCCACGATAAGACTTGACGACTTGTTTCGAGGCTTGCTGGAACCCACAAGTCCATTTGGAAATAACACTCTGAGCAACAATAACGGCATTGTTAAGGGTCGGCGGCCTCTTTCTTAGCCATCTGCAGCTTCTCTGAGCTCAGGATGAGGGTCTCCACGGCGAGCGATCCACCAAGCTAACACCATCCTGACTCTTGCCATCCCGGGTTGAGGGGGGTTCGAAAGAGAGTTGGCTTTGTCCAGCAGAGCTGTATCCCACCTACTTCGTGCAGAGTCTTGGGAACTTGTTACAGTTCTCCTTGAGCACCCAAGGAGCCTGGCTGTGCCGTTTGCTTTGATGTCTTTGATTAAAGACAAAGGGCAGCAGTGAGCTCATGAGTGCTTTTGAGCTCTTACTGAGCCCCAGGCCCTTGAGACCCCTCAGCTCCTGTCATCTTTCCAGCCGCCCTCTTCAGTGGGGACCAGAAGCCTGGCTCCTGTGTCTGTCTCTGGGGTCCTGTAACCTCTATCATCCCACAGTCGCTGCTGTAAAGCCCTGGCACGTGATGAATCTTTTACAGCATCTGTTTCCATCTGAGCCAGAAAAAAAAAGCCAGTCCTTTGCATTGAGTACCAACAAATCAAATAAACGTCAGCATTCCATCAGCCCGCACCTAACCTGGGCCCTTAGTAGAACTTCGGCAAGCATCGGGGTCACCGAATGCTTGTCGGCACAGAGGTTCTGAGCCCGCCAGCAAAGGTCGGATCAAGTAAGCCTGGAGCAAGGCCCCAGAACCTGCATTCTCTGACTTGTTCCCAGGTGCTGAAGGCACCACTGGCCAGGGATCACAGCCTGGAGCTGCTATGATAAGAGAGAAGAGAAGGCACACTATTCTAGGGGAGAATGGTGTGCAGGCTGGTCCTCCGAGCTGTCGAATGAATTTGGGAAGATTTCCAAAGTGGTTGAGAATCCCTGACCTGCTTATCCCTCATCACCCTCTAATTCCAGGGCAGAGAACCAGCTCACCAGGGCATCCAGCTGGGGTGAGTTATTTGTCTTTCAGAAAAGAAAATGAAGCAAAACATAACAACAACTCCCCCCCCAAGGCCACCCAATTCTCGCCCAGGCTGTTTGTATCAGAGGAGGCCCCTGGTCAGTGCCCAGAAAAACCCAGCCATTGTCCTCGCCGGGGCTGGGGGGTGTTCATCTCAGAGTCCGTGCCAGTTAGCAAATTGCCAGCCGCAGAATGAAGCTGGTTCTGTCTCTGTCTCCTGCCCACCTTCATGAATGATTCACGCTGCCCCGTGCTCCATCTGCCTCGCCACTTCAGGCCTTGCCGTGACCGCTCTCTGCCTTTCTGTCCCCAGCTGTGGAACAACTACTTTCATCTAGCGGTGGCTTTCATCACGCAGGAGTGTCTGCAGCTGGAGCAGTTCTCCCACGCCAAGTACAACAAGATCCTGAGCAAGTAGGTGGCACGCGTGGCTCTCAGGAAGGGGGGGGCGGGGAGAGGTGGCGCACGGGGTCCTCTGAGACCATGCCTGAAGCCAGCACCTTTGGTTCCTCCTAGATACGGGGACATGCGGCGTCTGATCGGCTTCTCCATCCGCGATATGTGGTACAAGCTTGGTGAGTAGACGCCCCGTGCAGACGGGCACATCCGCACACCCCTCATCTTTGCAGACCGTCTGTCAGGAGGCGACAGGGATTTCAGCAGGGGGAGCTGGAAATCACCCGTTATCACGGCACACGCCCTACCCTCCCTCGGGGTGCCCACCCACCACCCGGGCAGCCCGCCCATCTGCTTCTGCTCAAGGCTTCTGGAAGCTAAAATGGGACTTAATGGAAGGGAGGGCACCTTGGCAGTGGGAATAAGGGAACTCACTTGTCATATGTGGGCTTGCTGCTGGTTGGGCCACCCTGCGGCCTGCATGTGACCTACAAAAGTCCCGACAGCCTCATGGGAGAATCGGTCCGGTGAGAGATGAGGGTCTGTGGTACTCATGGGAGGGAAGAAGAGAGCAGGAATGGTATCAGGAAGACAATTATCGAGGGGTCTGATTATGGCCAGTGCTAAGATCTTGACATCACCTCCTACAAGGTGGGAGGAAAAAAATCCACACACACACACCTCTTGCTTTTCGATAGCACAGCGGGTAGGGCGTTTGCCTTACAAGCGGCCAACATGGCCGACCCGAGTTCGATTCCTCCGCCCCTCTCGGAGAGCCCGGCAAGCTACCGAGAGTATTTGATATGCCAGACACAGTAACAACAAAGTCTCCAATGGAGACGTTACTGGGCCCGCTCGAGCAAATCGACGATCAACGGGAGGAACCACATGTCTTGCTCAAGGCCTGGATCCTGCTCCATAAAAAAGAAGGGAGGGAGGGAGGGAGGGAGGGAGGGAGGGAGGGAGGGATGAGTGGACGGGCAGATAGCTATGTGGGCGGATGGCTAAGTAGGTGAGGGTAGACGAATGGATGAACGAATAATCCTGATTGATGAGATGATTTCTGTGCCTCCTTGGCTCTGTAGTGTCCGGTTCCCTACTGTCTGGGCTGGGATGCTGCGCTCTCAGTAGGGCCCTTCCTGGGACTCAGCCCCCCTGGCACTGCTGCTGCTACCCAAGAGCTCTCAGTGTGCATCACTCCTAACCTGACTTCCTGCCCGCCCTTTCTAACAGGGTCCATCGGTGCAAGAGAGGGTTGATGGCTAGACAGTCCTTTGGGGTTTTCTACTCGTAGCTGTCACTGGGCTTGGGCTCTGGGTACTTTGTCACAGAGGACTTTGGCCTGGCCCCCAGGACCAAAGGGAGTGGGGTAGCAAGGCCCCCAACACACTTGCCCTGTTTTTCACAAGTCATGAGCTAAGCCAGGAGACGGGGCCATGCTGGGTGCAGCTGTTTCCCCAGGCTGCGCTTGGGGGAGGAGAGAGAAACTGGGGGTGGCAGCAGAACTTTTATCTTTATTTTCACCCCTGTGCCCAATCGAATGGAACCCGCTTTCTTCTCTAGCTCTGTATTGCCGGGTGGCCTGAAAGAAGGACGGGCTGTCAAGTCAAACCCGGAGAAATCTCAGCAAAACAGGGTTCTTTTGACCTTGGGGGTAAGGTCATTCTGTACTGGGGGGCACTGTGAGATACTTAGCAGTACCCCGCCCTTTCCTCCCTGACACCAGTGCAAGCCCCCTGACGCCAGTCTGCAAAGTCCGCAGACGTGGACGAGCTACTTCCGAAGCCCACAGCCGTCGAGGAGTTCCAGCTGGCACCATTTCCCCAGGCACGCACGCCTTTCTTGGGCTTTTTTATTTCTGACTGGCTAAGGACAGAGATGTAAGTGACAGTCTATGTTTCACCCGGCACAGCCCAGCCAGTGCAGGCCAGGGTGGTCACCTCCCGCTGCCCTGGGAACCCCGCGTATGGCGTGGGGGCCAGACATGTCTAACGTGACCACTGACCACACGGCCGGCACGCTCTCTTTTCCCAGAGTCCCGAGCAAGCCACGAAACAGTATTAAAATGCATTTTCCAGTATCTGAATGCTGAAAATAACAAATTGAAAGTTTTTTTAAAACATTGGAGGTCCGTGCAGAAACGGGGGGCCCAGACAGGGCGTCCACACGCATTTGTAATCTCTGCTGTACAATAGGAAAGACCGGACAAGGCCGTGGCGGACTTTCTTTCCCAGCTCCCATTGTCAGAGAAGGAAAACAGGCGTACGAGTTGTGTTTTGGCCCCGGCTCTTCCATACAGCCTGCTCTTCTCTGAATATCCTGCGTCTCCATTGTTTTGCACACAGAGATTTTATTTAGATATAGATTATGTTTTGGCAGACATTCCCGCGCTCCCAATTATGCTGATGAATGAAAAGATGTTACCGAATATTCCACCTGCTTCGAATCACAGATCATCAGAGCCGGGAAGGCCCTTTAGGGATGATATTGCCTAGCATTTTTTAAACATTTATTTTTAGTTGAGGCCCAATTAAAAAAAAAAAACTCATGCTCCACACATAAATTGGATGAGAGCTGAGCTATTGTAATGGAAGTGGTGTCGTTGAGGGGAGAGAGGGCAAAGCCCCTTCCATGAGGTGCCCCTAAAATACCCCCACACAGGTCCTGAAGGTTCTCTGGGAAGAAATTCTGACGCAATTTAGAGAATTGTTCAAAGCTACAGGTGCGACCCAACCCTCTGTTTCACCAAGAGGGAAATGGAGTCCCAGAGCGCAAAGAGGCATGTGCAAGGTTGCAAAGTCATTTTGAGGTAGACCCAAGCTTTCTGGCCAGCATATTTGTCCTAAAACAGCACAGACTCTTTGAGGCTCGCAAAAACCTATAAGATAAATGAATGTACTCGAAAGCGATACCGGTCAGAGCTGTGACATTGCAGAATCAGATGCTGATTGGTGACTGCCTTAATCAGAGCAGATTTATCAAAAGGGGAGGGGAAACTTGCTGAGAAGGACAGGGCCAAAGTCTCTGTTATGGTCGGGACCAGTGGTGCCCTGCGTCCTGCTGGAGGTCCCTGCATCTGCGATGGACCTGGGGCTCTGTCCCCCTTCCTTTGATGACTCCCCTGCCGTGCTCACATCAAGCCCCCCAGTTATCCCAGCTGCTACTGCCAGAAGTAGTTAGGAGAGGTCACACCGAGCTTCCGATTTGTGCTGCAGAAAACAAGGATGCTTTGGCTAAGAGGGCCAACCCTGACACCTCTTGGCCTGAGGAAGACTCCAGAGGAAGAGGAAAGCTCATGTGCCTGCAGGGGGCTCCAGTGACTAGTTAGGTATGTGGCTGATTAGCTGCGGGGCTGTGTCCTCCCTGGAAGAGGGGGCAGATGAAGGCCTGGTTCCCTGCCACTGTCGTCCCCCACTGCTTTCTTCTCGGTACTGCTCAGTGACTAAATGCACTCACCCAAACCAGGACTGAGGGCTAGACACTGGCTACACGAGGGCCCAGTACAATCAGATCACTGCATTGGATCTGTGAAATCAATCACAGTACACTGTGAAATGCCCAAGATAGTGAAAAGTAGATGCCGTCTCCGGACCCAGGCCAAGTGCCGTGCGTGTCTCTTTCCTGCTAACTCAACCCCAATGTTTTATTGTTGGTGATTTTTTTTCCCTGTGATTACTATTTTCTCAGTTAAAAATTCCTTGTAGCACAAGGCTGGAAAGATATTAGAGCAGGTAAGGCACTTGCCTCTCACTTGGCTGGCCCTGGTTTGATCCCTGGCATCCCATATGGACCCCTGAGCACCGCCAGGAGTGATTCTTGATCACAGAGTCGGGTGTGGCCCCAAAGCGAAATAATAGCAATGATGATAATAATAAATCCCTTGTAGGAAGTGTCAGACTAGGGGCCCAACTTTGGACAAAATAGAATCAGCAGAAACAAGCTCTAGGAAAACTTTAATCTCTCCATTGAAACATAAAGGAAAGAACAAATTCAATAAGCCAACCCACGTTTTGCTCAGAACCCTTCCCTTGCCATCCTTCTTTCCCCTTCTGGAAAGCAGGGAAGCACCTTGGAAAGCAGGTGTAGTGGCCACCTGGCAGCCAGGAGGAGCAAAGTCACCAGCTGCAGAGGGAGAACCAGCTTTGGCCTGACCACCTCTGCTGCTTTCCCACAAGGGAACCAGAGCAGAGCTTAGTCCCCCCGCAGCGGGCAGATTTCTGTTGCATCCCTTACTGGGAAGCCTTCCATCTGAGCCCCTACTTTTGTAGACAAGGTCACCAGAGATGACCAAGGACATTCTCAAGGTCAGCAGCAGATCAGCTCTTCAGCGGAGGCAAAAGCTCCTGTGTCTTGATTCCAAGTCTTATATTCTCAAAGCTTTTTCCTTCCTTTTTTTTTTTTCCTTTTTCAGAATACACACATTATCTTCGAAGGATATGAAATAGCCCAGCTCTGTTTTTCAGAGCCTACTGATAATGAGTAAATCATAATTCATGTTAAGGTTTTAAATGTTGTTTTAATGCCCACTGCAATCAGGGCCTCAGGACCGTGATCATCAGTATCGTCATCTCCTTCTTCTTCTCATCAGGAAGAGATTCGAGCAGCCCTGTGATGATAGGGTAGCTAATTGCAGAGACATCCCAGGCTTGAAGATTATTTAAGATTCTTTGGGGAAAGTCTAGACAAGTGTGTGTGCGCGCCTGTGAGTATATGTGCATGCGTGCATGTGTGCATGCGTGCGTGTGTGTGTTTGTGTGAGTATATGCGCATGCGTGTGTGTGCTTGTGCGTGCGTGTGTGTGTGTGTGTGTGTGTGTGTGTGTGTGTGTGTGTGTGTGTGGTTTTGTAATTGGGAGCTCTCGAAGAGAAGTCTTGGGGAAAACTAGCACATATTGTGGCCCAGGCCAGGCTGCTACAGGGTTAACTCCATTTGTGTTTTTAGGTCCTGGCATGATGCCCACTGTAATGTACTTTTCCTGATCATATAGCTGCATAACATTTGATTTCTGCTTGGAGTGAAGCAAGCACAGTTTGCCAAAATGGCTTTGCACTTAACCATCCCACACTCGCTTGGGTTAACGTTGGCCTGCGGTGTTAACAGTTCTTTGTGAGAAGGGAAAGACGAATTTCAGCAGCTGGTGGCGTGGCCTCCACATGTGGGGAACTTTGAGAACAACTCA